ATAGATAGATAGATAGATAGATAGATAGATAGATAGATAGATAGATAGATAGATAGATATCCTCTCTTGGGTCTTGCCTTTGAGCTTCCTGTTCCTGTGCAAGAAATGTATCCTTTTGACTGTCAGACTCCCATGGGGCGGGGGTCTTAGCTAACATTGTAGGCTGTCTGTGTCCCAGGCTTGGTTGAATCTTTCTTGGTGATGCAATGAAGAGCAATTTCCTATTATGGCTGAATGGCTTGGACCTGAAGGATAATCCTATCATCCTGGAGCTGAGATCTTTTGTCTTGTAGATAAGCTGGCACCAAAATATCTGCAGGGATCTGGGGACTTTTCTTTCTGTTTCCTTTATAAGTTTTTTCTTTTTCTTTTAGGGAAAATAGCAATAGCCCTTAGAACTATATATACCGCTTCATAGTGCTTTTATGGGCCTCTCTAAGCAGTTTACAGAGTCAGCCTATCGCCCCTAACAAGCTAGGTCCTGGGTAACATTCTGCTGTTTCAGAGGTTAATACAGCTAAGCCCAAACTTCTTACTTAAGTTTCTGTTTCCAAATAAGCCTCATTGGCTGACCTTGTTACCATGTCTCTGCCGGTTCATGAATATTCTGACACCGGAGACTCAGAATAGTGCTGTTTCTGGCCTTCCGGAGCCTGGGGAGGGAGAAAACGCCACACACACACAAACACCGTGCCGTGGTGCGGGAGGCCAAGTAAGCCACACTCCCCCTTGGTCATGCCCACCCAGCAACCGAGCAGAGAACTATTTGTTAATTTTTTTCAATTCCACTCCTGTCTACCGTCCTTTCCAAAGATTTCCATTGCTGTATGAAGAGTCCATGAGAACAAAACTGCCTTCCACTTCTGAAATGGAGATGAGGTCTATGGCAAAATGCATTTGCCTTTCATTCAAAGCCGTCCAGGCTGTGTGTTCTTTCTTTTGCTTTTATTGATTAATTGTGTAGGAGCAAACTCCATCAGTCTTCAAGGCCCTTTAATAGCAGTTTTCCTTCACCTTTGTCTCGTGTTCCATCCTAGCTATTATCTCCCGGGCTGTGCATTGTTATTGAATGCAACGTATTTTTAAAAGCCAAGGACACCTTATAAATGAACAAAGGGGGAATGTGTTTTTTTTTTTAATGTAGCTTCTTGCATGAAATAAGTACTTCCACGGCTATCAAGTACAGAGCCAAAATGTTTCCTAACAGCCTTTTTCCCCCTCTGAACTTTGTTAAGGCTTTGCATCTTCTCCTTTAACAGAATCATGGGGTTGGAGGTCATCTAGTCTAACCCCCCCAAGCAGGAAATCCTAAATCATTTTGGACAACTGACTGTGCAATCGCTTCTTAAAAACCTCCAGTGTTCGAGCACCTACAACTTCTGGAGCCAAGTCGTTCCACTGGTTCTAACTGCCAGGAAATTTCTCCTCAATTCTAGATTGGTTCTCTGCTTAGTTTCCATTCATTGCTTCTTGCTCTTCCTTCTAGTGCTTTAGAGAATAGGTTGATTCCCTCTTCTTGTGAGCAGAGGAGTGGAGGACTCTTCTCGTGAAATATCTCTGGACTTGCTCGATTGTATTAATGTCTGATATACAGTGTGGATTCCAGACAGATGAGATGTATTCAAGAATTGGCCTGGCAAAGGTTTTATATGCTCTAGTTTGCTATAAAATATTACTGGAGAAGAAGATTTGCAAGATTAGGTTAACAACTCTTAATGCCTTTTTGGCAATGTTATTACAATGAGCTCTGGCACTTACATCGTGAGAAATGAGGACCTCCCAGGTTCTTGACAGAGTTTACCCCATGCTAAGGGGCATTGCATGAAAAGGCATACATCAAATGGTAAGTGGCAAGCATGAAACTGTGAGAAAAATCCACAGAAGTAATGAAAGACTGGATAAAACAAAGTGAAATAAAAATTGGCCTGTAAGGTTTTGAAGGATCAGATGATGGAATGTATGTCCAGATGGGGCCCTGGGGAGGAGGAGATAAGACCCAGGTGTGGATGGAATGGAGATGAGAGAAGCTGTAGTAGTCTTTGATAAGTAGGATGTTGTAGCAGACAATTTTGTGTACTACGCTTAGGTCGGACTGTAGGTAGGGCAAATCCTGGTTGTCCAAGCCCAAAAGATTTAACTGCCCATTTTTCAAATTGTTCCCAGCCTCCCTCTACCATCAATCAGGGTGTTCAATCTTCTTTGCCCACAATCCTGTTTTCCATCCTTAGCCCCCATCCACACAGTCACCTTCAGACCATTGGAAGCTTGTTGATTTTCCTTCCATGAAGCATTCTTTCTCTCCCCAATTAGCAGATAAGAAAGGTGTCTCAACGGGGGAGGGGAGGAAGCAATTCAGATGCATTTGTTCAGAGAGCTCATGGAACAATTAGATGCTGAAGAATCCAAGCTGAGAACCGATAAACCGCTGGGCTGATCCAATCTTAGGTTCTCGGGAAGAAAAAACCTTCAAGGATGTTTCAGAGTTAGACGCTGTTTTGAGAGATAAAAGTGCCAATGTTCTGCTTGTCAAAAAGAAGGACATCTTTGATGGATCGCTGTGGAGGTGAATGACCTGCTGTGGTTCTCCGTGGGTACCTTCTTGGCTTTCGTGTAAGAATGATAACCGGAGATGCGTCCCTGGATCTTATCAGCTTTCTACCACTTGAGTTTTTCAACAGGGACATTTGTCCATCTTGAAAACATCCTTCCTGTTGTTGGAAGCAGCCAGCTGACTTCAACCACCAAGGTGCTCAAGGACAGCCATCATCTCACTTACAAATTGCTACTTTCACACTTGGTAGGATTCAAGACTCTCACTGATGTCCTGAGGTCAGGGAAACAAACTATAATAACTCCTGTGTGTGTGTGTGTGTGTGTTGCATTTGTGCTGATAAATAAATAAATATCAGCCCAAATGCAACACAAATGTAACAAGGCAACATAAAAAATGGCTTTCTGCCTGGATGGCTCCCAGAGTGAGCCGATAGAC